CTCTACCGGGAAGTTGCCCGATTCTCCTCTCATCATTCTCATCCGGGTCTTAGCTCCATCATACATATCCTTAATCGCTCTAGTGTATGCGACATGTACACCTCTAGCTTCCAAGTATCTCCACAGAACCTCCCTAGATACACCTCACAAGAAATAATACAATTTAATATTATAACTTTAATATATTAAAATGCACATAACACCAACACAATACTTTTGGAGTAACAACAAAGTTTAGAAACGATAAAAAGTTTCTCCCTTTTAAAGTATAACAAAAGATATATTTAAAAAAAAGAAAATACTACTATTAGACGATAGAGTAAAGATTAAAAGGAACAAATTCATCTCCTTATAATTTTGTCGATTATCATATGGGGCAAAAAGGATGTACGTACTGCCAAGTGTGCCAACACTGACGTACCGAACAAAAAGTGGAACTGTTTAAGTTCCATGCATAAGTAGCATAAAAATATTTTTAAGATTAAATTACTTATAAAATAATTACAAGTAATTTTTTAAATATATATTAATTAATAGTGACCTGCTATAAATGATACTCAAATTAACCTACAATTAGGGGTGTACATAGGCCGGGTTGGTTCGGATTTTGCAATTATCAAACCAAACCAATTGTGTCGGGTTATTAAATCTAAAGACCAAACCAAACCAATAAAACTCAGGTTTTTCACTCTCGATTTTTCTCGGGTTTTCGGGTTATTCGGTTTTTTCGGGGTTTTTTCCGGTAAATTCTTCATAGCACAAAACATATAATTTGTGCTCAAAATATTTCTTTAATCCTAAAAATATACAACTATATAAGGTATTTTCCAAGAAAATAATACAAAATATGAGTTGTGTCATGGGATTATCCTAAAATATTCAACAATAAAGATAATAAAATTATGTAATATAAATAATACTAATTAAAAAGTTATAATAAAAATAAACATAATCTACAAGTACTAAGTCATGCTAAAATAAGTAGACTAATAAGGGAGTATTAATTACATGGCTAAACGCTAAAGAAAAAATAAAAATAGATTATGCATTTTTATCTTAATTATTGCAAAATAAAAAATAGATATTCAATACATTAATGTTCGTAGTATTGAATTGGATGTCATTTGTTAGCATTAGTATTGGTTTGATTTTGATTTGAGCTTTTGTTAGCATTATTTAAGTTACTAATATTAATGGCTATAAAACTTATTGGAACATTCAAAAGTTCTAAGTCCAACATTGAAATAATACCTTAAAAGATAAAATTATAAAAAAAATTTATATTTAAAATTTCTATATATATGTAATGTCGGGTTGGTTTGGTTTCGGTTTGACTTTCTTTAGTTAAAACCAAACCAAATCAATTATGGTCGAGTTTTTTTTTCTAACACCAAACCAAATCATAGTCGGGTTTTTTTCTCGGTTTGACTCGGATTATCGGGTTGGTGCGATTTGTCGGGTTCCTTTGTATACCCTACCAATAATAATAAATTCCTACATCGATGTATAAAAAGCATTTTATATGACTTCAATCCAACCAAAAAAAAAAATGAGAGCTTTCGAGACAGATGGTCCTGCTCAACTTTGAAGCCTTTAGACTCTAGGATCTGCTTCTAGATCTCCAGCCTAGCATAACATCACCTCATGTCTCGTCAATCAGTACTATATACTCTGCAGATAACGTGCACCAAAGTAACTCCCCTTGAATGTGTTGTGTCAACTTATCCATCGCCAAGGAAAATAGAAACGAAATAAGCGAAGATCCCTGATGTGACCCCACCTCTACCGGAAGTGCCTTGATTCTCCTCCCACCGTTCTCATCCGGATCTTAGCTCCATCATACATGTCCTTAATCGCTCTAGTGTATGCAACATGTACACCACTAACCTCCAAGCATCTCCACGGAACCTCCCTAGATACACCTCACAAGAAATAATGTAATTTACTATTATATCTTTAATATATTAAAATGCACATAACACCAAAACAATATTTTTGGAGTAACAACAAAGTTTAGATACGATAAAAAGTTTCTCCCTTTTAAAGTGTAACAAAAGATATATTAAAAAAAAATACTACTATTAGACGATAGAGTAAAGATTAAAAAGAAACATATTCATCTCCTTATAATTTTGTCGATTATCATATGGGGCAAAAAGGATGTACGTACTGCCAACACTGACGTACCGAACAAAAAGTGGAAGAGTTTAAGTTCCATGCATAAATAGCATAAAAATATTTTTACGATTAAATTACTTATACAATAATTACAAGTAATTTTTTAAATATATATCAATTAATTAGTAACCTGCAAAAAATGATACTCAAATTAATCTACAATTAAGGGTGTACATAGGCCGGATTGGTTCGAATTTTGCAATTATCAAACCAAACCAATTGTGTCGGGTTATTAAATCTAAAGACCAAACCAAACCAATAAAACTCGGGTTTTTGTCAAATTTATCAAGCAATGAGAGATTGAAGAAGAAGAAGAACGAACAGAAGAAGAAATTTAGAGAGAAAGATAACCGCTTCTCATTTCTTCAGTTATTCAAACACTGTACAGAGTGAAGCATATATACAGTATTCCTAACTAACACTTCTAACTAACTAGCTTTACATAAATAGCAATAGCCACTTCATTAACTAACTAGTCACTTATCACATATACAACTACAATCAGCTTATACTTTCAACACTCCCCCTTAAGCTGATGCTCTGAATATATTCTTGACTCCAAGTTGATTCAACAGAGCTTCATGTTGTGTCTTTCCAAGGCTTTTAGTCAGTAGATCAGCCAGCTGATCTTTTGTTGAGAGATGATGAGTTTTGACTACTCCTTGACTTAGTTTTTCCCTTATAAAATGACAATCTATGTCTATATGCTTGGTTCTTTCATGGAATATTGGATTTGCTGCTATTTGAATGGCAGCTTTGCTATCACAGAACATATCAACAGGTTGTTGCACTTCAACTCCTAGTTCCTTAAATAGCCCTATTAGCCAAGTAACTTCAGCTACACATGATGCCATGCTTCTGAATTCAGCTTCAGCTGAACTTCTGGATACAGTTTCCTGCTTCTTAGATTTCCAAGACACCAAAGCCTCTCCAAATTTCACTAGGTAGCCAGTAACAGATCTTCTGGTCTTTAGACATGAGCCCCAATCAGAGTCACAGAAGGCTTGTAGCTATCTAGTCCTAGTTGATGGCATTAAAAGTCCCAGGCCTGGTGAAGCTTTCAGATACCTGACAATCCTTAGGGCAGCCTCCATGTGGGATTGTTTTGGAGCATGCATATACTGACTTAGCACCTGTACTCCAAATGAGATATCTGGCCTTGTCATGGTCAGATATAGAAGTCTCCCTACCAATCTTTGATACTTTCCAGCATCTTCTAGTATTGGATCTTCATGAGCTGCATCTTTGTTGAATGCATTATCAAACTCTATTGAAGTAAGTTTCTGATTACATTCAAGTGGAGTTCCAGTTGTTTTAGCTCCCCCTAGGCCAAGCTCAGTAATTAGCTCCAGGGAATACTTTCTTTGACACATATGTATACCCTTGCCTGATCTTGCAAATTCAATGCCTAAGAAGAACTTCAATTCACCTAGGTCTTTCATTTTGAATTTTTTCTAAAGATCACCCCTGGTTTTAATCAAGAGATCATTGTTACTTCCTGTGATGATCAGGTCATCTACATATATAAGGATCACAACTATGTCACTTCCTTGATGCTGTGTAAAAAGGGAATAGTCAAAATGACTTTGGAAAAATCCAAGTTGCTGCAAAGCTTCAGTAAGCTTTAGATTCCACTGTCTTGGTGCTTGTTTCAGGCCATACAATGATTTATGGAATTTGCAGACTTGATTAGACTCCCCGTGTCTAGCAAACCCTTCTGGAATAGTCATATAAACCTCCTCCAAAAGATCTCTTTGCAAGAAAGCATTGTGTACATCCATTTGATAGATGAACCAATGCCTTGAGGCTGCCACAACTATCACTGATCTAACAGTAACCATTTTTGCAACTGGTGAGAAAGTTTCTTTGTAGTCCAACCCAGCTTGTTGACTGTAACCCTTGGCTACTAGTCGTGCCTTGTACCTCTCCACTTCTCCTGATGACTTATACTTGACTTTGAATACCCATTTGCACCCAATAGCTTCTTTACCTTTAGGAAGATCAACAATAGTCCAGTTGTTGTTGTCTTCTAGTGCTGCAATCTCTAGTTTCGTGGCTTCAATCCACTTTGGATCTGCAGCTGCTTCCCTATAACTAGTAGGATCTACAATGGATGAATAGGAGTTTAAGGCAGTCTTATATGGTAAGGCTAGATGATTATAACTGATATAGGAAGAAAGAGGATAGGCACAGTTGGATTTTTTTGTGGTGATAAAGTCTTGAAACCACAGAGGTTGCTTTACATGCCTAGTGGATTTTTTGAGTGGTTCAAGCTGAGAGGAAGATTCAGTAGAAGGAGGTAAATTGGTTGGAAGTTCTTCTGAAATGACATTACTAGGTGAAGGTGATGTGCTGATGGAAGGTGGTGCAGGCAAATGAGTGTCTGGAAGCAGTTCTTCTTGTATGATTTGGGAAGTTGTTGTGCTATTGGGAGAGTTATTGGGACTGATCATTGAAGTGTGAGTGTCAGGAATGGGCTCTAGCACAGGAAATAAGGGAAGAGTAGAAGGAGTAAAGTGTTTAAAGGGGAATAAATCTTCTCTGAACACCACATTTCTACTTACAAAGAATGATCTATTATGTAGATCATAAAGTTTGTATCCTTTTTGAGTAGAAGAATACCCCATTAAAGCAGCAGAGATAGCTCTAGGTGACATTTTATCAGTGATGTCGGGATTTGATGCATAGGCAAGGCAACCAAAGGTTTTTAGATGATCAAGGTTAGGAGGGTGTGAGTGCAGCATTTGAAAAGGAGATTTATGATGCAGGGTGGTAGAAGGTAGCCTGTTAAGCAGATAGACTGCAGTATCAACACACTCTCCCTAGAACTTCAGAGGCATAGCACCTTGAAATCTTAAGGATCTGGCTACATTTAGAATAGATCTGTGTTTCCTCTCTACTACACCATTTTGCTGAGGTGTATAAACACAAGAACTTTGATGCAAAATGCCATATTCCTTGAGCAACTCATCAAACTGAGAATTAATAAACTCACAGCCATTGTCTGTTCTTAATGTTTGAACATTGGAATTAAACCTATTCTTCACTAAGGCAAGAAAGTGCTTCAAAGTGACAAAAGTTTCAGCTTTATTGTTCAACAAAAAATCCAAGTATACCTAGAGAAGTCATCCACCGGAGTTAGAAAGTATCTCTTCCCATCATGTGTAGGTACTCTGTAAAGCCCCCAAACATCCCCATGCACAAGCTAGAAAGACTTATTTGAACTAGTAGTGCTAATAGGAAATGGAAGTTTAGACTGTTTCCCTAGTGGACATATAGGGCAATGATGATTCTTATCTAGTTTACAGTGTTTCAAAAACTCTATTTTTTTGAGCATATCTAGAGGAGCATGATCTAGTCTATTATGCCATACAGACAGTAGTACATTAGTGGACACAGAATAACACTTTTCTTTACTGTCAAACTCTTGTAGCTGTGATTGAGTAGATGGTGCTGTGGGAGTTGGAGATGACTTCAGATAGTATAGTCCATAATCTTCTCTACCAATCCCCTCACCTGCCCACTGAAGAGGTCCTGGAATAGGCAAAAATCAGGAAAGAATGCCACACAATACTTCAGTTCCTTTGTCAGCTTTGATACAGACAAAAGGTTAAACTTGAAGTCAGGAATGTGTAACACATTTTGTATATCCTGATTTCTGAGTATGCTAGATGTTCCTGTATTTGATATTGGTACCACATTCCCATTTGGAAGATGTACATTACAACTTTTCAAGCCAGACTCCTTGTCTAATTTAGTCAACAGCTTAGAATTCCCTACCATATGGTTAGTAGCTCCAGTATCAATTATCCACCTATCATCGACTATACTGGATAGAAAAGCAAATATACCTGCTGCTGCTGGTTGAGCAGAGCTTGTTGCTTCTTCATTTACTTTACCAAGCATGTGTAGGATTTGTTGATACTGTTCTGGAGTAAAATATGGTGCTGAGTGAGGAGCTAAGTGAGGTGAAGTTGCTGAATGAGGCTGAGATTGACTCCTCTCCCCATGGTTTCCTCCACTGTTATTACCTGCAAAATTAGCTGCTGAAAATACATCATGACTTCCATTAGTAGGCATTAGTGTTCCTGAATCACCAGTGTTTCCTACAAAGTTAGCTGTAGGGAATGCATTTCCTTTCTTCTTATGTTTAAAATCAGCAGGGTACCCAACTAGTTTGAAGCAATTCTCTCTGGTATGCCCCTTGTACTTGCAGTAGTCACACACTAGGTTAAAATTCTTCTTAGGCCTTTGTTGAAAACCACCTCTAGCAGACACCAAAACAGTGAGATTAGAATTCTCTACAGGACTTGTATATGCAATTGCCCTCTGGCTTTCCCTCTCCATCATCATAGAGTAGGCCTTGTTCACAGAAGGAGCTGGTGTCATCATGAGCAATTGGCTTCTAGCTTGCTCATGAGATTCATTTAGCCCCATAAGAAACTGTAAGAGCTTCAGCCTTTCCATAAACACAACGAATTCACGCGATTTCTCACAGTCACATCCAGGAATTGGAGCTAGACTGTCAAACTCTGCCCGCAGTTGTCTCAATTTTGAGAAATAAGAAGAAATCGAGCTGGTACCTTGATTAATTGTGGCAATATTCTTATGAATCTGAAAAATTCTAGAGAAATCAGCTTTATCGAACCTCTCTTTTAGATCATTCCACACAGCACTCGCATTTGAGGAGTAAACAATTTCACTAAGCAACTCGAGCGATACACGATTCATTATCCATGACAGCACTATGGCGTTGCATCTGTCCCATAGATCTACTAGATTTGGACCAAACTTTCCTCGTCTACAGGTACCGTCGATGAACCCTAACTTGTTTCAACCTAAAATAGCAATTCGCATTGCCCGACTCCACACCGAGTAGTTTTCTGGACCTCGCAGTTGCAATGAGATTAGAATTGCACCGGAATTGTCATTTGAGTTTAAAAACAGAGGATGATTGTGCCCTAGTTTCTCAGGAGCTTCATTGTCAACTTCCGCCATTGTTGAGCTTCAACTATAGAGGCAGATCTTGTGTAATTGAAGCAATTGAGCTTGAATTCAGCAGTTACACTAATTTGGGATCTAGATTCGAGCAGATGGCTCTGATACCATGTCAAATTTATCAAGCAATGAGAGATTGAAGAAGAAGAAGAACGAACAGAAGAAGAAATTTATAGAGAAAGATAACCGCTTCTCATTTCTTCAGTCATACAAACACTATACAGAGTGAAGCATATATACAGTATTTCTAACTAACACTTCTAACTAACTAGCTTTACATAAATAGCCATAGCCACTTCATTGACTAACTAGCCACTTATCACATATACGGCTACAATCAGCTTATACTTTCAACACTATGTTTATATAGTAGATGATTTAGTGTATAGAGTATAGCTTATACACGGAAGATTAAATCATCGGTTCTTATAAGTATAAAGTTTGAGTTCACAATCTAATGATGGAATTGGACAAACCAACAGGAATGATTGTAGCACACGATTAAATATAATTTATCTTGATTATGGGAATGGTTTAATTCCAACTTGTTGTGCTAGTATATTTTGTATGTATTGAACGGACCAAGTAGAGATAAGTATTTTATACTGACTTAATAAAATAAACTCTCTAGCCATATACTTATACTCTTAATCTTGATATAATTATTATTAGCTGTGTACATTATTATTATTTTTATTTATTAAAAGGCGAGATTCTTTCGTGGGTCAATATGCCTGGTAAATTGGATAATAATAATGTACATTAGCGAAATAATAGTTAGTTGATCGAATCCATGTCTCGGTTTAGAGATTGATGATACACCTATATGAAAGCTTATAAGTTTTCATGTGTAAACCCGGTCGGTGGATTTTGTATCCGACACATGAAATAAGTTAAGCGAAAGTCTAATTTAATTGATTAGTATCTGAATCTTAACACGGGGAGTTAAATAAGATTTAATGGATGAATTTCGAAATTGAATAAGGAGTGCAATTATGAATTTTTAGTGGAATAATTCGTAATTAATTATGGTGGATATTATTTTCGAAAATTAGAAATTAATTCCATAATTGGAGCCTTGTTAATTAAATTTTGTGGTCCCTACTGTGCTAAATAATTGGAAATAAAGGAATCCTTTTTCTGGTGGAAAAGAAAACCCAACAGGTTTTGGAAAAGGGTTTTAACCCTTAAAACTTGTGCTATAAATACATAAGGTTTTCCACCTAGTAGAGCAGATGGTGGCCGAATTTCAGCCCTTTTTCCTTAGAAAATTTTGCGCACACGAAATTACTATTTTCGGGTATTATTTGGGTGACACAGTAGAAGACCGTGGAACGTCCGGAGATCGTGATCGTGCGGGTGGTGGAGAGTTCATTGAGTTGCTGTAGAATTGGAGGCTCATGTAATCAAGGAGCTTTGTTCACGCTTCAAGAGGTAACCCGTGAAATTCCGTTTATGCTAGTCGTCTAGATTACATGTGATTTTGATACTGGGATTGCTTCCGCTGCATATAACAATCCTTCAATTGGTATCAGATCCCACTCACATATAATTAGATAACTAAGTTTTTCATGAAACAAGAATATCGTGTTTATGTGCGTTTTTGAATTACATGTATATGTGTTTTTCTGAAAAAATTGGACTGCTGTTTTGTGAATTAACTGTGCAAAATTTTTGGATTATTCTTGTAATCATGAGATATCTGTTTTCATATTGATATTTGATTGAGATTATCTGGATTTTTTGGGATAAATCCTAGAAAAACGCAAAACCTGATTTTGACCGAATAGCCGGTATTTTCGGAGTTCGGCGAACTCGACGGCTCTGATTGAGCTAAAATTTGGTGGATCCATCGGAAACGACGTGGTGAGAAAAACACACTGCAATAGCAGTGAATCATGGTGTTTTTCGGCGTTTTGAGGTCGTTTGGACTGTGTTTTGGACGTTTTCTATTTTCTGGAAATTATTTTTTAATAATTTTAATTCGTTTTTAATTCAATGGTGGTGGGGGTACTCCCCATGGTCTCCATGATTAAATACTGGTGATATAATATGTTTACACATTGGCTTTTAGTAGATAGACATGTTGTTGAATTAAATTCAATAATAGAGGTGTACGATTTTATTGACTAGGTCTTACAAGGTATAATTGGTATTGTGTGATGATACAATTATTTTGTAAGAAAGTGAAATCCTCTTTTTGATATCCTGGATGACTAATGATTGGAGCGTTTGGCATATTTGTGCATAAAAAATTTCTGAAATTTTAGTTTATGTTTTCATGCCCTGCGTGATTACTAGTCTTGGATTTTCGATGAAAAATTTTTGTTCTCTGGTTGGAGGTTGTAATTAAGTAAAATATGACGGTATTTTGTATGGGTTTTTAAATTATTGGCATAGCTTTTAAGCTATGGTCCATAATCTGCCATGAAATAATTTTATGAGCTACATGTATCTTCACTCGTAAATTGAGAATTTTGTGGGTAATAAATAGTTACCACTAAAGTGGTTTATTTATTTGAACTCATGAAAAATTCTTAATAAATTTGTACATGTGAAATTATGTCTATTGTGACGACCCAGCCCGTCGTCACGCGAGTTGCCGCCCCGTTTCCCCCATTTTCTGCTTCCTTTATAAGAGTCTTGAGTGACTGAGTCGATTTGGATTGGTTTTGGATGGAAAGGAGACACATAGTCTCTTTAAGGAAGGTTTGCCTTGGAAAAGTCAACCGGATGTTGACTTATGAGTTAGAGGGCTCGGATGTGATTTCCGGTGATTCGGTTAGCTTGGGGGGATGATTTGTGACTTAGGAGTGTGATCGGAATTGATATTGGAGGTCCGGTGTAGAATTAGGCTTGAATTGGCGAAGTTAGTATTTTGGCGAATTCCGGTTGTTAGGTGAGATTTTGATCCGAGGGTCGGAATGGAATTCTGAGAGTTTCTGTAGCTTCGTTAGGTGATTTTGGATGTGTGTGCAAAATTTCAGATCATTCGGAGGTGTTTTGGTTGGGTTTTTGATCGAATGCGAGTTTCGGAAGATTTGGATGAACTTAGGCTTGAATTTGATGTAATTTGATGGTTTAGGTGTTATTTGTGGTGTTTTGATGATTCGAGCAAGTTTGAATAAGGTCTTGGATCATGTTTGTGCTTTTGGTTGAGGTACCGGGGGCCTCGGAGTGATTTCGGATGGCCATCGGGATGATTTTTGGACTTAGTAAGATTGCTGCAGGTCTGGTATCTGGTATTTCCGCACCTGCTGAAAAGGAACCGCAGGTGCGGGAGGAGTTTCGCAGGTGCGGTCTATGGCTTGACTGGAAGATTCCAGAGATGCGGAAGGGAAGCCGCATCTGCGAGGCCGCAGATGCGGTAGTTGTGTCGCGGAAGCGGAGGCAGGTGGATTTGGCATTTCCGTAGAAGCGAACACTAACCCGCAGGAGCGAGGTCCGCATATGCGGTAGAGGACCGCAGAAGCGGTCGTGGTCTTTAAGTGTGGATCCGCAGAAGCGGAAATTAACCGCAGAAGCGGCAGTCGCAGATGCGGTGGTGGGACCGCAGATGCGAAAATCCCTGTTATCAGAAGGGTTTTAAGGCTCATTTTATTCCGCGAGCTTAAGTCTAATTCCACCATTTTTAAGCGACCTTGAGAGCTCTTGGACGGAATTTGAAGGGGATTTCAACTAGGTGTGATTGGAAGTAAGTCCTTTGGCCTTAATACATGAATTAATGGTAGAATTTACATGGGAATTGTGGAAATTCATCAAAAGAGGGTAAAGCTAGGGCTTGGAAACTTGGTATTTCAAAGTGGAATTTGAGGGGCCAAATGGACTCCGATTTTGGTAAATTTGATATGTATAGACTCGTGGCGAGATAAAAAATCCGGTGATGTTAATTTTCTGATTTTTCGAGAAGTGGGCTCGGGGCTCGGGTTTTGCCAACTTCGTGAATTTCGATGTTTTTCGAGTCTTTTCGATTGGGTTATATTTCCTTAGCCTATTGTAACGTATTCGTTGTGGTTTTGGCCAGATTCGACGCGCGAGGAGGTTGATTTGCGAGGCAAGGGCATAGTGAGCTAGGACTTTGGCCGGCTTGAGGTGAGTAATGGTTATAAATGATGTCCTGAGGGTTTGAAACCCCGGATTTGCACAACGTAGTGCTATGTTGAGGTGAGACACACGCTGCCTGATGAGCGTGGGGTCCATTACTGCTGGGTATTTGGACTTGGTCCATCCCGATTGATGATTGTACTGTATTTTTGAATGAGACTTAAATTATATCATTATAGTTTGGGATAGTTGCCATGATTGGGGCCTTGTGCCGACCTGTAGAACCCTTAGGGGTAATTGTACATGATTGACCTCACTTTACTCGTTAAAATCATACCCTCAGTCATGTTTCTAACTGTTTAATCTAATATGAACCGGTTTTGGAATAACTAAACCAAAAGGAGAGCGATATGTGGGTTGGGATCCCTATCTTAACTTAGTATGCCCGAGAGGCTGAATTTATAGTGACTGAGAGGGGTTGAGAACCCCATAGTGTGGGTATTTGATATGTTATGGATCGGGCTGCATGCCGCAGCAGTATATATATTTATATGGATTGGGCTGTATGCCACAACAGTATATTATTGGATCGGGCTGCGCGCCGCAGCAGTACATTCATATGGATCGGACTGCACGCCGCAGTAGTATAGCTCTTAGGCTGTAGGAGCCCCTCCGGAGTCTGCACACCC